TTATAGTTTGCCATTTCAAAAAAAAAAATTCATAGAAAACCATGAAATTCGTCATCATTATTTAGGTCACAAAATTCAAAATGAACTAACTTTAAATTTTAGCTGAAAATGTTAGAAGTTCTATAATTAGTATTAACATGTAAAAAAAAGCCCGTGCGAAACGGGATATTATTTTTAACTTTTTTTTTGTTGCATTATTTTCTTTAGTAGGTTGTGTGGAAGATAAACCTATAAAACAAATCGAGCGGCAGAAGAGAATGAGAGGGAAAGCAGTCGCAGGACCAAAACAACGAAATTGGAGAACGAACAAACACGTGACAAAAACACAACAAGAATAAAGAGTATTAGGGACGCCGCTTTTTGGGACGACATGTCCTTTATCGACGACACCAGACAAGACACACTTGGTGTCGCCACAAAAACTTCGACGTCGTCGCTAATACTGACGTCGCTAAAGGTCAGGACCGGTGATCCGTCGGAGACACACAACTTTCAATCCTGACCGTTGGTTCGGAACAAGATCGAACGGATAGGGTTTGTTTGGTGAAAAGCAATTGAGACGACCTCTTTAGCGGCGACATGTCGCCGCTATTGGTATCGATCTGTTGACCAACACTAGACTAAATCTTGGGCCTACAATTCTTGCCCAATCCAACGGTCCATGATCTATAGCAATGGCGCGTTGATTTCCCTCCAGATGGTCGCCGCTAATAGGGTATGTGTCGCCGCTAAATGTGTGCCCCTTTACTTCGGCTTCCACGACCGCAAACACATTTTTCTCTCTAACTTTTCACATCCTCCGGCGAACGACGATTTACGACATCAATGACGACGACGCCGCTCTCCGCCGCCGATTGACCTCCAAAGCCGACTCCCACCGCCGATTGAGTTCCAATACCGACTCCCATCGCGAATTAACCTCGAAAGCTGACTCCACCGACTGCCGTCGATTGCCACCTTTCCATTGCCGGCTGTCACGTCGGATTCGACCTTTTATCTCCAGCGAGGTTGATTTGTCTTACCAATTTCTCTTTCTCCATTGCCAATTGAACACAGTTTGAAAACAGTGAATGAATTTTTTTTCTGTTTTTAAGCTGCCATTCGAAGGCCACACATCACTACCGATAGCTTTGTTTTTCCGCCAGTTTTTCCGGCAAGAACATGTATGATTTGAATTTATGAATATATATATATATATATATATATATGTGTGTGTGTGTGTATGTGAAATTGGTACTGTGTTCATTTTTTTCCAAGCGAAATTGAATGTGAAACTTTTGACTGTTGTGATTTTGTGAAGCTTTTGATCCTGTGCAATTGGTATGAACTTCATTTGTTTTGGTTTGATTTTTGGTATGTCAAATTGGTATGAAGTGCATTTGATGGTTTGATTTTATGAATGTATATATATGTGAAATTGTTTTTGTTTCATATGAACTTTTGACTTTGTGATGTGAAATTGGTATGATTGTTGGTTTTTTTGTGTGTTAGTTTTAAAGTATATTAACAATCTTTTGAATTACGGAATGCCTTAGTTGTTGAGGTTACTCTACAGACTCATCATATAGCCGACTCTGGTGGTGATCCAGACACTATTGATTGGATCACAATATTTGAGAAGGTGTTGGATACATGAAGGGGGCATGTGAGAGGCATTAGGCCTAAAGCTTCTTCAGCTGCGGGTACAAGTGCTCCATCCCAATGACAGTCACAGTCACAAGCACCGCAACCAACACATGTACTTGTGACTTAAATTGTTAACGACTTTATTCATTTGGGTGCTTGGATGGTTTGATAGTTTGTTGAATTGTTAATGACTAATGTGCTTGTGACTTAATGGTAGGATGTTGATGTGAATGCTTTCTCTCAAAACCCCATTTGTGACGGCAATTGGAGACATTATCCGCTCCTTAAAAACCAAGTCAACAAACGAGGAAACAATGATGGGAAGACGAAGACGAAGACGAAGAAAACTAGTAGTTCTTGTTTTTGTTATGGATGATGTTATTTTGGATTTATTAGATAGTTTATGAATTATATATTAGATGTTTATGTAGGATTTATTAGATATGTAATATTGTATGTTTGATATTTTATGTAATGTGGTATGTATTTATTTATCTATTTTTATCAAATATGTATTTTATGTTATAACTCTAATATCATAAAACTATGTTTTTTTTCTCAAATCCTATATATCTATCTATATTAATATATATATCTCTATCTCTATCTATCGCATATCTCTATCTAATATATATATCATATATTAGCAACGACTCCTTTAGGGACGACGTTGACTAATTGCGACGACACATAACTCCGGCAAGCTTTGCCGGAAAAACTCTGTCCGGTCATCGGAATATCAATAGAGACGACGGCATTAGAGACGCCACAGGAGTATTAGAGACGACATGTATTAAAGACGACATTTGCGACGACAAACGGCTATTAGCTACGAGTTAATTGCGGAGACGCTTTAGAGACGATATGTCGTCGCTAAAGTATTAGCGACGACATCTGGAATCAATTGCGATGCCTTTTGTCGCCGCTAAAGGCTATGTTTTTTGTTGTGAAAGGGCATTTTCGACCGACTTACTTCATGTATTTATTTAAATCGACAATTATAATTTTATATAACTAAAAAAAAATCTCTTAAGTAATAATTATTTTAAAATAATTGATTAATAATTTAGATTTTTTAATATAAAAGTTTAATTAATTATAATCGTGGTTTTCACGGGTTATAAACTAATAGTAATTTAAAGTAGTGCTTTAGAAAATTAACACTTACCTTTCGTATTATTTCCATCAAACAACATACATATAAGGACTCAAAGTACAATCAGTCGAAACCTAATGCTTATAAATTAAATACAGTCCAAACATAATGTTTATAAATTAAATACACTAATTTTTTATACAAATCGTACGTCCTAAGGCCCCATTAAGTGGTAAATTAATCCAATATTTCTTACGTCCCCCATTCTTGTAATCGTTGGTCAATCTTTATGAATTGTTTCTGTGTTTAGATCATAAAGGTTCTTTAAAATTTGTAAACAATCTGCCGGATAAATACTTGTTCAGTAAAAAGTTTTGGTAAACTTTTTGTCATTGAAATCGTTAAGGTTTTCTGGTTCTTTCTAAAAGATTAGTTGTAGTGTTGAAGAAGCTTCGAACATGGAAGAAAATGGAAATCCTTAATATTGACATTAATCAAAAACCACAAAAGCAGTCAAATTTGTGTCTAACCAAAATATGAGAAATAAGTACAAGTTTTCAAATAAAGTCAAAGTACAACAAAAAATGCTTTTCAGCTTTTATTTAAGAAATTAAACAACTTCAATCATAGTTTGATAGGGATAGCCCTGAGTGGTTCAGCCTTTTGCAATGTGATCCCAAACTTTTCTCCCATATCAATCTCTTGTGGTCTCTTATTTCCCACAACCTTCCAATCAAATTTATGAATCAAAGATCCCAATATTATATGTAACATTCTACTAGCAAGATTCCTTCCTGGACACATCCTCCTTCCCGCACCAAATGGAATAAGCTCGAAATCTTGACCTTTATAGTCAATCTTCACGTCCAAAAACCTCTCTGGCATGAACATTTCTGGATCTGACCATATGTTTGGGTCTCGGCCCATAGCCCAAACGTTACACAAAATTTGTGCATTTTTAGGCACAATGAAACCTTGAATAGTAACGTCATGTATGGCTTGGCGAGGGATAAGAAAAGGGGCAGGAGGATGTAGTCTTAGAGTTTCCTTTATTACAGCTTGTAGGTAAGTGAGTTGAGAGATATCAGATTCTTGTATGCTTCCATTGTTGTTGTTTTCATGAGTTTATCAACCTCCAACCTCGCTTTTTTCATTTTCTCTGGGTTACGAATCAGCTCCGACATCGCCCATTCCAACGTGCTTGATGTGGTGTCCGTTCCCGCCACAAATAGTGTCTATAAGGCAAAAACTTTAGTCAACGCGTCTGCTATTATAGTAAATATTTTTTAATTATTAAAAGGATTTTCTTACTAAAAATATGTGTCTAATATCATTTTGAGTAAAACTGGATTGTTGGTTTAGTAGTAAGTCTAAAACATCATCGTTTTTGGTTGAAACACCATTTGATCTACTCTGCAACCTGTCACTGATGATCTTATCGAAAATAGTTAGCATTTTCTTGGCATAAGCATTTTCCGGCCATATTAACTCTAGTGGATCCAACCAGTGAAGTATCGGAAAAAGGTCTAGTAGACCTGGCTTTGCGCCAGCTTGCATCACTTGCAATACCAAGCCTTGGAATTCTTGTGTTGATTTGGGATCATATTGAGCAAGATCCATAGAAAACATGAAGTTGGAAAGGATGTTAAGAGCTGTTGTGAATGCACACGCACCTATGTTTAGAGCCTTTTCCTCTATACAACATCGGTTAACATGGTTGACAAGATCTTGTACCTAGAATATAAAAATATAAGGACATAAGTTTCAATGTATCGTCGTTATTTTATTCTATTTTTAACAATAATAGCATTAATGGATCTAATTTATACCTTCTCCCGTCGTAGTAATTCACTAGCGTCTAGCTGTTGAACAGAGAAAATATATTCCTTGGTCATTCTTCTCAATTTTCTCCATTGATCTCCGGCCACCATCCAAACTATAGAGTATTTATGATAGTCTCCGAGTTGGATAGCCTTAGGAACTGATCGGTTTAAGAAGGCTACATCATGTGTGTTAAAGAATTCTTTGGTGATATCAGGTGATGAAATGACTATGGTTGTATTGCTTCCGAGCTTAAGTGACATTAAAGGACCATAACGTTTAGATAATGTGGAAAGTGATTGATGGGGTTTGTCGCCAAATTGTAGGAGGTTTCCGATGACGGGAAAACCTTTAGGGTCCCGGTGGTAACCGTGAGTTGCGCCGGCTGGAAATGATGTAGGCATAGATTGCCAGTGGGAAAAGACAAGATACTACAAGGAACAAAGTTTGATACTCCATTTTTTGTGTGGCTGTTCTTTTAATATCTAAACGTTTTTAGAAGTCGTTCATTTATAGCCACGTAAATTACAAAAATGGTCCCTATTAGTTTACCTAAAATCTTATGTTTGGTTCATATTTTGAAAAAATGCCACTTTGCTCCCCAAATTTGACTTTTATTGCACAATTTGTTTGATGTGTGAGATAAACACAATTTGTTTATCATGACCACTATCGTCTTTCTCATTATTTATCAAAAATTGAGATCCTGCCAACACTTTCCACATCCCCAGGCATAACATATGAGCTTCATGAGCATCTCTTTGAGGCAGATTGCATAGATTTCCTATATAATTTGCTCTTTTACATGAAAAAGTAGATAATGATGAATAGTAAGCATTAATGGTTGTATTATTGGTCTAATTGTTGGAGGAATTAGGGTTTATGTTAGAGATCTGGATACTCATTGGATCGTGTGAACACTTTCCGAACTTATCTTTCTACCATATGTCTAGGTTGTAAGAAATTCAGCCTAGGATAATCCAAAAGGACACTTACGAATCTAGGCACAGAAATAGTAAGCCAAATTGCTAGAAGGATTCTATGTTCGCTTGAAGAAAATAGAGCTAATAATTGCGTATCTCTTCTCAAAGCAGGACCCCGGCCAGGGGTTCTGCCGCTAGGACCCCGCTACGGGCGCTACCCCTAGACCCCTCCAAAGGGGCGCTGCCCCCGGACCCCCGACTTATCGTCGAACAGAATTCTAATTCGATCTTATACATGCGTGCAATCTGTAGAAACTCGTACATATATTAGAGTACAAATTATGAAGCCCCTAAGCTCACATGTTAGTTCCAATTAAACAAAATGACATGGTGACACTAAAATCACCAACAATCATCCCCCATTTTAGTGTAACCCATGAACAAACATAATGGTATCAAAAGAAAACCAAACTAGTACATAATGAAAATACAGAAACGATTGAATTTCCACTTAGTATCATACACTTGCAAATACTCGAGAATCAGGTTATTATAAGAACTGAACCCATCAACCCATTTGAATACCAGAAAGTAAAATACATACTAGTGTATTGAATTTCTAGCAAAATACAACTTGACACTATTATAAAGCTGTGTGTCCCAATCCTCTCATGATCGTATCAAGGTCAAGTCCACAACCTCTTGAAATGTGGCTACACTTCACAATCATGTAGGTAACTCCTTTCCATGTATATGCACATACATTTATCAAAGGAATTATTAAGAAGTTAAATTTCAACCTGGCTAACTAGCAGAACCAAACACATGCCTAGGATGAATACTTCATGTGTTCCAATCTATAAGTATGAGCTTTCCACATTGAATTCAACTCCTAACATTATATTAGGATGGAATTGGGTGTCTCATCATTACATAATTAAATGGACATTAATCACATCCCGATCACAAACTTGTGTACTAAGTCTCTTATTAAACCTTTAGTAAAGTGATCTGCCAAATTTTGTTGCGATTTCACAAACTCAACCGAAATCACACCGTTCATGATTAGTTCTCTAATCATACTATGTCTAACACTTAGGTGTCTATACTTTCCTTTCTAAACCTGGTTGTATGCCTTAACCAAAGCGGTTGCACTATCACAAATGATAGAAATAGGTGCTATTGGTTTAGACCACAAAGGAATCTCATAGACTAAATTCCTTAGCCACTCTTCATCTTTACCAACAACTGCTAAGTCAACAAACTCAGATTCCATTGTTGAGTTTGTAATGAAATATTGCTTCTTGAAAGCCGAAGAAATGGTACCGCCTCCAAGCAAGAATACCCAACCAGAAGTTGAGGAATGGTCCTCCATGTTGGTTATCCAACTTGCATCCGAATGTATAACATCCCCCTCTGGCACGTATCACAATATTGTCCGCTTTGGGCTCCCGGCACGAAAACTTCCCAAGGGGGGATGTTACAAATTGAATCTGAGCCCGAGCACAGGTCGATGTGTTTGACGGGGACGTCGAAACCTGTAATGGGGGTGAAGGCGGGCAGGTTAGCTACACCTTATCCCACATCGGCTGGGAAGGAGAACTAAACATTCCTTAAAAGGGTGTGGATACCTTCTCTGACACAACACGTTATAAATCCGTGAGGGCACCAGATCCCATAAGAACTCTGCAGTTAAGCGTGCTCGGGTGAGAGTAGTACCGGGATGGGTGACCCCCTGGGAAGTTCTCGTCCCGAGTGGACCAAAGCGGACAATATTGTGATACGTGCTGGAGGTGGATGTTACATAATGACCTTCCTAAACTGAAGGACTCCCCAAGTAACTCAAACAATAATTCATGGTTCCTTTGAGATACTTAAACACTCTATTCACTACTTGCCAATGTTGAGCACTAGGATTAGTAGTGTACCAACTCAACTTGCCCACAACAAAAGCAGTATCAGGTCCGGTACTTGTTATGGCATACATCAAGCTACCAATGGCCTTAGAGTGCTCCAATTATGAAATTAGAACGCCATTATTTGGCAATAATTACACACTTGGATCCATAAGAGTACTCACAAGAGAACAATCGGTAAAATTAAACAGCTTGACAATTTTCTCAATATAATGACTTTGAGTCATTAGCAAACCTTTGTTCATCCGTTTAATTCTTATTCCAAGAATTACATCAGCCTCTCCTAAATCTTTCATGGAAAACTTAGATGATAACAATTTCTTTATTTTATCTACTTGATTTTGGTCGGTACCAAAAATCAACATGTAATCAACATATAAGCAAATGATCACTCCAGCTCTAGTAGAATCATCAAATTTACTATAAACACATTTGTCACATTGGTTTGTGTTGAAACCAGAAGACAAAATAACATCATCAAACTTTTGATGCCATTGTTTAGGCGCTTGTTTCAGCCCATACAAAGATTTGACAAGTTTACAAACATATGCTCTTTACCGGGTATAATGAAACCTTCTGGTTGTTTCATGTAAACTTCCTCGTCAAGTTCACCATTTAAAAGGGCTTTTTTCACATCCATTTGGTGAATAATCAGATTGTGAATACTTTCCAAGGCAATCAACAATCAAATAGTAGAAATACGTGCAACCGGAGCATACGTATCAAAATGGTCAACACCGGGTTTTTGTCGAAAACCTTGAATGCTTAACCAAGCTTTGAATCTGTTAATAGTCCCATTAACACTCATTTTGTTTTTGAAAATCCATTTGCAATCAAGTGGTTTAGAACCCGGAGGCAAATCAGACAACATCCATGTGTTGTTCTTAAGGATTGATGACATTTCATCATCAATTGCTTCCTTCCAAAAGGCACTATTGCAAGACGCCATGGCCTCTTGATATGTCTTAGGATCATCTTCAATACTATAGAAATAAGATCATTCAAGATTAATTTCATTCCTTAAACCTTCCACCAAATACAGTTGGAAGTCGGATCCGAAGATTTTCGCAATATGACCTCTTTTGCTTCTACGAAGCTCTTGTGGTTCTTGCACATTACCACCCTCTTGACTTTCTGAATTTTGCACTTTATTAGTACCAAAAGTCAGATACTTAGGCCTTTGAATTGATGAAAAACGTATCTCATCAAAGATTGCGTCCTGTGATTCAATAACGGTGTTAATCGAAACCGAATCATTAGGTTCTAT